TCTAACCAGTAATTCACTACAATTATTTTCATTATATGAGCAACAAAAAATACTTTGATATATTGCACTATCCCAAAATATATAAGCAAATATCACTTTAAAGAGGATAGGCTCTACATTATCTATCAAATGTCATAATTATAAGCACTCTCTATCCATCTGTCCAGAATACTGTAGGGCAAGGTAACAGAAAAGCAGATTTTTATCCTTGAAAAATCCAATTTAATCAAGTCAGCCATAAATATATGAAATATTTCTAAGATGTTATATATATATATTTAAGATGTTCCACTCACTCAGTGTTTGTGTGCCAATACTGTCAACTCTTTATTCTTATATCTGCTGTGTGTGTGTGTGTGTGTGTGTGTGTTTGTGAGATCACATAGACATTTGGCTTGTGTGCAATTATATTTAATTTAATATTTAACTTGAGTAAATTTTCATTTACTCTGTGATTGTGTACAAGTGAGATTAACAATAGTTCACTGCAATCTGGTTGCCGCAGTAATGTTCCAGTTTATTTCTCTTTACAGATATGAGGTTGTTGAAAACAATACTAACCAGTGGCAGTTTCACAGTGATGTTTGTGTTAATGCATACATGTTCTACCAATGTGAATCTGAAAGAGTGAGATTGTAAAGTTAATAGGGCCAAACTTGTAAAAAATGTTTCCCTTCTTCCTCCATGCTTCCCAAGGTCCAACTCTATAGGGTAAGGATCAGCTGATCACACAGCTGATTGTGTTACATTAGTTGTTCCTACAGTAACTCAATAGATCTGAGACAGATCAGCTGATAACACTAACTGGTTGATACAGTATGGACTCAGACAGTCAGCTGAGTCTGTTTTTTTCAGTGGTGCTGCCATACTGGACTGCAGCGCTCAGTCAGGTGGTTCTTGTCTTGGCTCAAAATCAGATCTGATTGATTTGACAAGCCAAAACAAATTGCCTCAATGAATTAGGTGAAAAAGTTGTCATGAATTGTCCTGCACTTTCCCAGTTGCAGGAAAGTGCTAAAGGTAAAGCCAACGCAGGCCGAGACTGATTTAAGGAGACCATGCAGGCTTTTTCACTTGAGCAATTTTTTTGATTGTTGAAGACAGAGAAAATGAATTGTGAGTTGCAGCCCTTTATGATATCACACCATATAGATCCTGCCCGTTTCTGTCATTCTCTAATTGAGGCTCTGAGACTGACAATGCATTAGCACGATACCAAAAGAAAATATAAAAACAAGGATTTCTCTACCTACGTCTGTGGGCCAATGCAACTCTGGCTGTGTGTGTGTGTGTGTGTGTATAACTGGTGCTAATCATTAACTCCTCTCTCACCACGCTCTCTGGGGACAGCTACTCTCTCAGACACTCTATGAGCATGCCCGCCATGAGGTAACGACACTGTGCTTGCTTTTGTGTGTATTTTTTCTATTATTTTTTGTATTATTTCCACCTATTTACTCAAATAAATAAATATAACGATGCTCCAACACCTCGTGCAGTGCAAAAGCAAATTGTTTAATGTGTCCCTTTATGGTGCATTCACATTTATTTAGTTGGTGGCAGAGTGGTGATATGTTTCACATGGTACTGATACCAGCTTACACTACAATAATACTGTTTTCAGTGCCCTTTACTTCCGCAGTTTGCTTACAGTAAAAACTTACTGGAAAAAGGTATTCCACGGTGTTTATCCCAAATAGCGAGGTTATAAACTATTGTTCACAATGCAACATGTAAATACTGTTATTTTAGCAGAAGAGGACACTTGTGACTTTACCATTACTACTGTGTCTGAGAATAGTTTAGCAAATCATTTTGTGCAGTCTACTAAAATAAATAAAGTAAAACGTCTTATCTTTCTTTACAGAAACTCTCCCGGCTTCAAGTCTTTTGAGGAGAAAGTTGAGACTACAGTGTCCACTATAAAGGTACACACTGCGTGATTGTGGGTGTCAGACAGTTGGGTTTAAGTGATGATAGACCAAAATACGTTAGCTTCTCACTTATCCTTATCCTTCTAAGGTGTTTAACATGTAATGTAGAGTGTATTTCTAAACTAGTATCAAAGAAACGCTTTGCTTATGCTTTTTCAATAGACTGTAACTGAATGCCTGAATGACTAATTGCCAGCCCTGGTGACAGAAATATTGACAGTCACACTAATTAACAACATGTGAACTGTGCTTTGTTGTAGAGTAACAAGCTGTGAAAACTACACAGAGAAACTGGTCTGGTCGCTGCCTCTGAACGTTATAAGATGTCAATGAAGCAGAGAGAAAACAGCACTATAATCTGGGTGTAATTGCTAGCTTACGCTCTCTGACAGCCTGTTGGTTTTCCTCACTGATCCTGATATAGCCTTAGCAAGAGCAGACTTCCATCTTTTGTCTGTATTATGCCCAGATATGAGTCAGAGAAATACTAAATTGCTGCTGACTTCTCTCCCATTTTATGAGTTTCAGTTTTAACATAATTTCAAGGATTCTTAATAACACTTCTTAAGTTCATGAAACCCTCTCTCACTGTAGTGGTCAAAGTTGAACCAAAAGCTGTTTAAATTATTTCCTAAAAAGTTTACAGTTTGGCTTTGGTTAGCTATATATACATATAAAATAAAGAAACATTACTCTTCATCCTTTTACATGCTCACCACCGGTGTCTTCTAGTGGAAGTCTTTGTAAAAGGCTGCCTCCCTGCGTCTATTCTGCAGCACAGCAGCAGTGCAGCCAGGATGTAGAGGAGAGAGAGGAGTTATTCAGTGACAACAGCACTTTTGTTTTTCTGTCATAGACAAAAGTTGGTGGTTCAGACACTGGAGGCAGCTTTGAGGAAGTCCTCTCCTCCGCAGCCAATGCCAGCTCCCAGGACACACCCACTAACAACCTGATGGACAGCTCCGAAAGGCCGTGCTAGAGCTACAGCCACACCATGAGCCACGTAGGACCAGGAACTCTTATCACTGCTGTTATGCAGCACATATCTTCGCAACGCTCGGACTGAAATGTTACTGAATACTTTCACGTGTTAAGATGCTTTTGCACTCAATCCCCATGTTTGTGATTAAGTCTCCCGACACTTGGATGGAATTTCCTGCAACCCTAAATACTTAGATTTGATAGAAGATAACGAATGTCACCTGCCCTCCAGTGGCCTCCCAACCATGTTAAACCACAGATGTTGATCAGACGCTGTTTGAGGGGTAAAAGCAACCAAGCCTTTAGTTAAATAATGAATGAAAGGACGCTGAGCAGATACAAAGTCAGCTCCAGGAGGCAGATAAAATTAGAACCCTATATTTCTTCTGTTGCATGAGTGTCAAATGTTTTGGCTCATCTAATGTTCCTGTCATCACGAGAACTCAGAGGTTATGAATTCCTTCTTTTGCTATGTAAATCCAGATAAGTGGAAACAGCCATGTTGGACTTGGTACAGTATCTGTAAACTCTTCATCACTACAACTTTCATACCAAAAAATACAAAACTACATTACTAGGTTATTATTAGAAATGTGTGTTTTCATGTTACAGTTTCAACTACCTAGTACTTTTTACTAAATCATTTACAAAATGTGTATATACCCCAAGTTGTATAAATGATTTTACACTAAGACAGAACATCTTGCTGTTAACATTGTTATGGCACCTACAAAAAAAAGAAAAAGATCTGTTGTGGGCTAGCTTTTTGCAATTTGGATATTGCACTTGGCCGTATTGCAGTTTTGATAATATTTCGATTAATTGAGCAGCCCTAAAATGCAGTCAGTCGTACTACTTTTTGAAAATCCCAGCTTACTGTTAACACATTTTCAGCTGCTGACAGTTTGGGTTGGGGTCTATTTGAATGCTGGATCATACTCGTACTGGCACGCATATTTATAATGAGAGTATATTTTGTTTTTTCTCTTTACTCCTTAGAAACAGGAAGTCACGAAGAATCTGATTAATCACACTGTGACAATACAATCTGATGCTGAAGATTAAACAGTACCACAGCTGAACTGTTAAATACGGAAGCCCTGAGAAGTGAGGGAGAAAAAAACATTCTGGTGATCCATTTTCTAAGATCTGATATAAATAAGTTTTCTCTCCTGTGTTTCTGACTTGATAACAGGTACAAAATACCTGGACAGGCTTATTGTTGTTGTAATACTCATTTCGGCCACAAGAGGCTGAAGTGTGCCACTCCAAACACAACGCACTTACCACAATAGACTGTGTTTTAGAGTGCATGGAGAAATTAAAACTTACCTGGAAGAAAACATGAACACTTTTAGTAGTGTTGTAGTCAAGACCAAGACCAGAGTTTATCGAGGCTGAGACAAGACCAAGACTTTTAGGGGTGGAGACCAAGTCGAGACCAAGACCATCAATAAGTGTTCTCAAGAGCGTTCTTGGTACTACAACACTAACTTTTAGTCGTATTTAGAACAATAGGTAGTGGTGCACGTCAGCATCTTATAGCAGAAATGAGTATCACAACAACAACAAACACTTTTTATCTTAACACTTTTTATCAAAATTTATCTTAAAAACAATTTTATGTTTTCACCTGCCAAAACCTTTTCACCTGATGTACAAGATGGTAATAAAAATGTAAGGAACTTACATTACCTTTTTTTCCCCATGTGTTCTTGAAATAGGAGAGAAAACAATTTAGATCAGACTTCAGAAAAGAATTTCTCCTCACTTGGCTCTCACGGCTTCTGTAGTTATAAATCTAAACATTTGCTATGTTGTTAATGCTATGTGACTGATCCAAGATATAATATTAATATGACAACATCACAGTTACACAAGAATTCCACAAAAGATGAAAAATCCGATTGTTTTCTTTTTAACTTTTCATGTATGGTCTCTGTGGCCGTGAATAACTTTGCCATCAAAGTAACGTTGTGTTTCCAATATATCATCTGTTTTGTGTTTCATTTTTCTCATATCGTCTTTCATGTATTTTTTATTTTCTTTGCCGTGGTTTGAGAAAGATGCCTTCAGATCATTTCGGTCTGTCCATGAAATGTATTTATTAAAATTCATCAACAATCGAGTGCTGAAAGATCTTGTGTAGGTTGTCATGTCTGACCTATTACAGAATAACTGAGGTAATGCATGTTCTGTCACTGGAAAATGAACTGCAGTATACATTTTACATGTGTATATTGTGTTGGGTTGAAGTCAAAATTTAACTCAGCACCAGTTAAAGACCTTTTTTTTTCTTTTTTCCCCCCAAAAGCTGACTAAAACTCTGAAACATAACAACCAACACAGAAAATAATGTCCACATCATGTCAACACTGAATTCCTGAGTATGCTGTTACCAATTTACATAACATGTATATTACTAACATTCTGTATATTGTACAGTAAGACAGCATCAGAAAATGCATCAACACTTTTTTTCTGATGGTACAGCACCATTGTTACATTTATTTATGCATAACCCTATAATGTAATATCTGCTAGATAGATATATAGATAGATCATTTCTCAGTGGATTGGAAGCATACAATAAAACCTGTTGAAAGAAATGTTGGTCAATAAGCGGTAACTAATATATGTGATGATTTGAGAACATAAAAATTTATACAGGTTTTATTAATGGTCCAACCTATTAATGAGGACATTTATTATGTGTTGACGCATTTCTGCATTTCTATATTATCTGGCTGTTTTTGCATTAGTCGATGTCAGACATTTCCAGGACAGTGTGGACAGATACATTGAGGTGAAACAGAAAAGACAATGGGCCAAAATTGAAGGCATCCATGTGCCATTATCCTCAGTTGACAGTTGAAACTCCTCAAACCACAGTTTTCCACTCGCTCACATGCCAGATCCTGTGACGTGCTTGTGCATCCTTGTACACACACATTTTGTGTTACAGTGCGATATCTCTGTCCCTGCACTGAGGAGGTGTTTGTGCGTTACAGTCAGGAGGAGGTGTGTGAAGTCGTACGGGGCTGTGAAGATGCTTCACCGGCTGTCTGTGCGTTTCCAGAATTCTTTGTTTGATCCGTTTCAGTCATGCGGCATCCTCTCTCTTCATTCAAAGAGCTGACGAGCTGGAGCACGTCTGGGTGGTGGAAACGACCTGAGAGAGAGCAATGCAAGTTAAGGCGACTTCACAATCTGTGAAATGTAAATTAGAATTTGACTGTTGGATAGACTGTAATAGTGTGTTTGACTATTACACACAGAAAGTCTACACAATATGTCCATGTCAATTCCATATTATCAGGCTGCCTCAGTAAGTGCAGCACATGGACTGACAAGAACCAGGAAAAGAGATCATGTTTCTCCTGTTTTTGCTTCTCTGCCCTGGCTCCCTGTAAAATCCAGAAAATAAGTCCTCCTGCTCACCTACAAATCCCTTAATGGTATGGCACAATCATACCTTAAAGAGCTCATAGTGCCTTATCACTCCACTAGAGCACTGCACTCCCAGAATGCAGGGTTATGTGTGGTTCCCAGATTCTCCAAAAGCAGAATGGGAGCCAGAGCTTTCAGCTATCAAGCTCCTCTCCTGTCAAATCAGGTCCCAGTTAAGGTTCGGGAGGCAGACACCATCTCTACATTTAATAGTAGGCCTCAAGCTGGACGTAGGCAATTTATTTAGGGTTTTTTTACATCGCAACAGCAAAAAATGAAAAAAATCTAGAATCTGTGGCTGTCCCAGGACTGTAATCATGTAATCACCAAACAAAATATTTGTCTGACCTACCTGCACTCACTCAGCCTGTGCACTGATTGCACATGAAAATGTGCATTAAGACTTTCCTCTATGATAAAGCTTATGGTTGGGGTCGGCTCTGACCCGTCGTTTGTTATGCTGCTATAGCCCTAGACTGCCACGAGACTTCCCATGATACACTGAGCTCCTCTCTCCACCTCTCCCACCTCAATCTTTATGCATTCCTATCCCATTAATACATGTTACTAACTCAACCTCTCTCCTTCTGTTGCTTTCTGCTGGTGTTTCTGGCTCCGGAACTGTGGAGTCTGGATCTGTGGTAGCGGGCTTCTTGCTTCCCCCATGTTCCTGCTTGACACCGGCTGCTACAATTATTATAATTAATCCTAACATTATTATTATTATTATTTCTATCATCATTACTATTATTTTTTTTTTATTACCACTATTATTCTATTATTTTGCATCCCTATGTAAAACTTGTGCACTGTGCTACGCCAAGTACTTGTTCAAGGTGGGAATTGTTGGTAAATAATACTACAAAGAACATGTTCTAGACCTGCTCTATATGAAAAGTACAATCAAATAACTTATGTTATGAATTAGTGCTGTATAAATAAACTTGCACTGAAAATGTAAAAATTAGTTTTTAAATGACTTGTGGCCTAAAATGACAACCTATAAACTATATTGTTTGGAAAGAGTAGTCTGTAGTCGATTTAATTAGAGCCAAACGACTGTATCAAATATAATAAGAAAACTCCTTGCATATGTATGTTTACTCTGAATAAATAATACATAAAAGGAACATGAGGCCATCTGATGCCAAGATGGAAGCCAATTAAGCGATGAGATCCAGTGAAGAAGAGAGACACACACATGAAATGGAGAAAAAGAAAAACAGACACCGACAGATTGGAGACTGACCGTTGGTGGAGTCAAAGAACTCCTGCAGTCTTCCCGGCGCTCCCTCCAGCTCCTCGTATTCGTGAGCCTGCAGGATCATCTCCAGGATGTCAAACTCTTTTACCAGCCTGGCCTCTGGACTGCTCTGGGTCTCATATTCCTGCAGATGACACAAATCTGTCTTTCACAAAAACATTCTGGTAAACACGCTGTTATAAAAGGATCAGGAGGCACAAATTATGATTCATAAGATACAAACCAAAGTGTAGTACCTCCCACAGTCCGTAAACTTCTTGTCTGAGTCCCTCCGGCAGAAGACCTGTTAGATGCCTCATCGCTTCCTGAGACAGACGTGAGGAGGAGACATTACAAAAGCCAAACACAGCAGTGGCTTCATCTGTAACCACCACCATCATCATCAGGTTTGGATGTAATGTAAGCGTTATTGCTCACTTGCCTCTTCTTGTCTGTGTTTCTCTGCTTTACTGATGTTGTCTGATGGAGCAATATCTCCCACAATGCACTCTGCCATGTCGTGAACCAGAGCCAGTTTTATACATCTGAAGAAGAAAACAAAGTTAAAATTTAAGTTTTGGCAACTAAATATTTGGACTTTGCTGCTTATGCAAAGTGGAAATCTGATGCATATTTATGCTTTTTGAATTTCAAAGGCTGACATGAAATAAGAGGGGATGAATCGCCGTTGGTGTAGATACTAGATAATAACTTAATTTTAATTTTCTTGGTCAACTATTCATTTTGAAGAGTTTCCTCGGCTAGGTGTGTGTTTGAAGTACCTGTCCTTGTCCACTGTGGGGTCAGTGATGGTCAGAGACATCATGGCCATGCGGTACATGTGGTCTGATACACTCTCTGGTTTCTTCACGTTCCTGTACACCCAGCCAGTCCGCGGGACCCTCTGCAGGTGGCGTCAACACCACAACACACGATTCATCAGTGGCACAGGACAGGGAGAGGGGAAAAGCTATCCTAAAATATATGTCTCGCAAATTAGTTCACCAGCAGAGCGAGACAAATTGTGTTTGTACTGACTTCTCTGCACAAAATCACTGAAAAATGTTGCTAGACTCGGCGTTGTCCCTTTAGTCTTAAATGGTGTCAACTAGGCTTAAATTGGCTATAAATTAATCTTGTAAGACATTTTAAATCAAAAAGTCATTGGCTCCAGCTCCTAGAAGGTGAATATTTTCTGGTTTATAAAGTATTTTTTGATAGTAAACTGAATTTCTTTAAGGTTTGCACTGTTGGTCGGACAAAACAAGACATTTGATGAACTATGTTTTGTACACCATTGTTAATCATTTAATCAATCTCTCTAGATTAATCAAAAATGAAAATACGTGTTGGTTGCAGCCCCAGGGGAGGAAAAAATGTGAAATTTAAATCAACATTGTCATTTAATCCTACTCACACTTTAATGAAATTATTATAATGTAAATGACTTATAATGTAATATTTAGCATCACCACACACAGAGAACCAGTACGGGATATTGTCAATTAAGCACACAATGAATAATGAAGCATTTCAGCTTATTGAAACATTAAGTCAAAAACTGAATAAATTCATAAATTGCCAATATTGAAATACAACAGTGATAATGATGTGGAGGATTTATTTGACCCTTCAAGGACCTTGTAAGACATCCATACAGATTATTACTAAAGGCACATTCATCCGTATATACACAACAGGTCTCCACCTGTTTTAACCCGCAGCGACAAGAAGCTGGTTTCTTTTTCTTGCTCCCAGGTTGTAAAAGGATGGTGTGTGTGTGTGTGTGTGTGTGGGTGTGGGTGTGTGTGTGTGTGGGTGTGGGTGTGTGTGTGTGTGTGTGTGTGTCGGGAGTGAACGATGCTCTGCACTGCCTTACTGTTTCAACACCGGAGCACAAGCAGTTCGAAAGGGCAAGCTACAGGTTAGACCTCAGTCCAGTTTAAGATCATTTGTTGTGCATTTTTGGCCACAAAACAGACCACATCGTCAGAAAAGTAGCCTGAATTTGGGGAGATGTCTTACTTTGAGCTGTCCGATAAATTTCATAAATTGCAGCATCTTGCTCATGCCAGCTGCTGTCTCCATGGTGGCCGCCATTACTGCCTGCTGACCCGGATACGGTAGGACTAATGTAGTAGCCTAAAGTAGCCGCTGGGTGGCAGCATATACAACAACACGAACCTACAGTGAAACCAAGAAAAGAAATACTAAACTTAAATCCACTGCTTTTCTTGCGGTATTTGAATCAAAAACATATTTTACTTGAAATGAGCATGTCATCGCTTTGCTCATGAGATTTTAAATTATTTGCTAAAATAGAAAAAAAAATGTAGATGGCAGTAACGTAACGAGCGACGATGTAAATGGCACGAAGAAGAATCACCGGAAGTAGGAGAAGCGGGAGATTGAAAGACGTAAACTTTTTGTTGTTGTGAACTTTTGCCAAAATGCTGAACAAGGCGCCTAAACTGAAACAAACAGTTAAAACGAAAATGAGGAGTAACATAAATGTGAGGCCGGCGTCAGAGGCAATGGTAGGTCGGGCTAACGTTACTGGTGGTTCTGCTCAGCCTGTTGTTGTTGGCTTTGTTTGCGGCTAACTAAGCTGACAAATCAACCTGATTAATAAAGACGTGGGCTTCTTCTCATTTTCTCAGATTGAACTCCTGACACTGCTCTTCTTGAGCAGCCTGGCCGAAGAGGCGAAGGCCAAAGCTTTTGAAGAAAAATCTGCAACGATCAGAGCTCAACATGTCAAAGCAGTCTCTAAGGTTAGTTCGTTCAAAGAAGGCTCAAGTCATGATTTCGCTGTCCAAGCTGCGTCTCTTACGAATCACCGTGTCTTACTTGTTTTAACAAGTGGCGTCAAATGCCATTTTACATTAAACAGCTCTACAATATTGTCTCTAATGTCCACACACAAACCGTAAATTACTCATACAGGCCGCTAATATTTATTTCTACTATTGCACTTTAAATAACCTTTAATGGCACTGTTATCATTACTGATTGAATATGAAAATTATTGAACCAAGTCGTTAATTTGTCCTAGAAAATGCCAGACAATAATGAAAAAATGTCCACCTCTTACTTTCCACAACCCAAGGTGATGTCAGTCCAAACCCCAAAGAGATTCAGTTTACTATAGGACTAAAAAAACAAAAATAATACATAAACCATTAATCGATTATCAAACCTTTGCTGATTATTTTTCTGTTGATTTGGTCAGCCTCTTATTAACACTGAGATGCAGATCTCCATCTCCATGATCTTAATTCCATGTTAAATTGGTAAAATGTATTTGTGTTATTTTAGTCCAGGATCTTTTCAGATGGCCCTATATTTTAAAGTGACACCTAACTAATATACAAAACTAGTCACAAGTGTTTGAATACTTTATAATTTATTAAGTCCGTTGTTTTATTTGATTGGCCTGTGCAAACGGAGATTGGCAAATGTCTCAGACAATTTTTTATTATACTTGATGACTATAAATAGGCACCAGTAGCAGCCCACATACTGCAGATTATTATGTTAAAATTGATGTCTAATGTTTTTAACTTAATGTAGGTGTATCACACTTTTCTGTCAAATAGTCTTAAGCTGATGATACACGGGGCAACTTTTTGAGGTAATGTGCATGGCAATCTTGCTTGTTGCAAGTCTGACTATGTTTTGAACGGATAGCATGGGGGTGTACAGTTGTAATCTTTACTCATTACATCTCATTACATCTTATTCATATTATCAGCTTTAGTTCTTTTGACAGTGGAAGATAAGCCACTGCTCAAAGATAATTTCTTGTTAGTTTCCTTTTGAGTAAATGTAGATACCAACTGTCAGATCTCTATCTCAGAATCTAAGAAATAACCAGCCGTAAGCTGGTTATTTCTTAGATTCTGATTGGAGTCTGAATAAATGTTGGTTTTAAGGCAGGTGCACTAGAAAGGTGAACTAATTAAGCCCATAAAACTGTTTTTAGAAACAAATAAGTTCAGTAAAACCGTATGTTGTCTGGAAGAGGTGCTTAAGCATTTTCTTTCTTATGTCACTTATACCTATTTCTTATTTATGTTTCACAATGAAATGATTTACTTTGAGTCAATTGTTATTTCTTGAACACTATTTGATGTCTCTTCCTTTTGAACAGGAGACTTACAGAGACTTTTTTTTTTTTTTACTTATAGAAATTGCTGAAAAAGGCAAGAGGATGAAGACCGTGTGGCACCTTCACTTTTATAAACATTATTACTAATGAAATTTTTAGCTTTTTTGTGATTACATATTTTGTTCTGTTTTTTTCTGAACTGTACATCTTTATGTTTTTAACTCTATCCCTGTATCTCTTTTCCTGTCATAAGTTTTTGTTCTTTATTAAATTCATTGTGAATCTTATAATGACGCATATTTCAGACCTCTCAGTCCCATAACACTAAACATGATTAGCTTTCTCATATTAACACAGTCATGACTGCTGCCGGCATCAGGAAACCATCCTGCAATAGTAAAACACATTTGTGATATCAGAATAATAATGTTGTATTAAGCTTTTATTTTTCAGAGTGCGTTTGTACTTCCAGATTTCCTCAGCCCCTGTCTCGCTCTTCTTCCATTCGTCACAGTCAGTGTTTTAAGCTTGCATGCTTCGCAGCCTCTTCACTGAGCGTGGACTCAGCCTCCTCCCAAATTCCTCTCTTCTTCACGCTACATAGATTATCCGCATGCTGAGATGCTATCCTGCTCATTGCTTCTCACTGCAAGGTTCTTCACAGCGAGAACTTTTCCTTCGTAGGTGTGTGAGTGGTGAAAAGGTCAAAGTTATAGTGATGGGATTGGTCGCTCATACAGTATCTCCTAAGTTATCGTTGAAAACGATGCGTCAACGCATTTTCTGTTACAGCAGAACCTTAATAGCAGGTGTTGACCTAAAAGCTGTTTTCGGTTTGTATTAGAGTGGAATTTATAGACCTGTTTCAGCACCACCCTAAGTTCAAGACCTATCTTTTGAAATCTAAAAACAGTAGGACAGATCAAGTGATTTAAATCAAAAGTCCAACTTCAGTGCATGTATTTAAATTTTACATGGCTTAACGTGAACATGATTACATGTGTATGTCCAATCCATGTGGTTTAAATTAGTCACAAACTTTATTATTCACATGGCTCTCTGGCTCCTTCACTTGGTGTCCTCCATCTTTATCATTTTCCTTTTGTCCTTCTTTCTTTTTTTTTTGCAGTTAAGACATTCCTTGGCCTCACAGCAGTTATTTTCTTCAAGAATCTGATCTGGCACCCCAGTGAGCATAGCCTCGTCATGTTTATGTTCCCAGTCAGGTTGAGGAGGTGTTCCTGGGTTTGTGGCACGCCACAAACCCAGGAACACCCTCTGACCTTTGAACCCCCTGCACCTCTCTCCGTCTCTCTCTCTTACATTCTGATATCTCATGACCGAGCCCTCTAACATTACATTTTTGTGTTTGCCCTCTTAATGAGATTCCAGCTGGCAGGGCGCCCATGTTAGTGACAATAAACTTCTTTAGACTCTCCTGTTGGATCTATGTGCTTTGCAAGCACAATGTAATCTATAAATCTGCTGCATGTAGATTGATGGATGATGTTGCTCTGCAGCAGCTGGCCGCACATCCACATGCTCCTCTGAGGTGTTATTTTATCATCCTCCTCTCTGTGTTTGCTCTTGTTCTTGGGGGATTTGAGAAACACGCTCTTCGTCCTCCTATCAAAATAAAGAAGTAGCCGTGCATGCACCTGTTGACAATTTAAGCCAGCCGGCGTAGCCCTGTCCAGCTCCTCCGTCTGGCAGTGTGTAACTTAGAGCTCCGTCTCTCTCAAGATAAATCAGCTCCAGTGTAAAGTCCCTCTGCAAGGCTCCCGCTGATTCCTCTTTTGACATATTTTCAGGCGAGCCAAGATAGCGCAGCAGTCCATTTTGGCAGAGATAGTTGTTGTGATAACTTGCTGTGCCTTTCTTAATAAGGAGCACATGGTTTGACAGATTTCAAGTGTGTCACTGTTCCTGTTCATGTCTTCGCCCTCAGGCGGGAATGTGATTACTTTAGTCTTCCGACAAGACATTTAGAAATAAGCAGAAGCAACATCCCCAAATTTGGTCTGTTAGCAAATCTGGATCCTATAAGACAGGGGTTTACAGAGTATTTGTGTTTCAGGGGAGGCTCAGTGAAAGGGCGTGAAAAATTATTACCTTAGTTATCAAAAGGAGATCACAGAATAGCTTAAATGTGTGTGATCTGGTTAAAGAAATAGTTCAGAGATACAGTAGTTTTGGGGAATTTTACTGTTATTGCCACTTTCCCGGAGTCAGAAACTAATAAATGTTTTATGATGGACCCTTTATATGTATTTGGTGTAGTCTGGAGTTATGTAAACAGCAATGTCAGGCAAAATTGGCTCTGTTGTTAAGTGCCTATGGGATCAAATAACATAATCATGATCTCTTAGGCACCTCGGAATTAAGCAAAACTAAGCAAGTAAACTTGGGGGGTGGGGGTGCTTTTTCCGAGCTTTGTCTGAAGGCAGGCCCAAAGTCTCAGACTTTGAAAACCCCTGCTATAAGATTTGACAGGCTCTGAAAGGATTGTGGACTGAAGTAAAGAATCATGACTTGCAGAGGGACATCAATTCCAGGAAGGGGAGCACTAGAGAGTTCAAATCTGTTTGAGGCTTTCATCACCTTCCTGCGTTTTTGTGGGACTCGCAGATTGTCTCGTTCACCTCCAGCTCTCCCGTTTTGTCTTCTCATTGGGACGTAGTCAAAGCACCCTGTATTTTTGGTTTTCATTTCCTGAATCCAGTCCTTGTGGAGATCACGAAGTGCCTAGTCATGGATTAAGTTCAGCTAACCAAATGAGGAGATATTTTGTTTTCATGTCATTCGTCTGAGCAGAGAGGGTGCGAATTAAACAAATAAGTAAAAGAGGGGTTTGCGTACTCTCCTCTAAACGAGCACCATTATCTAGCTACTGTGGTACAAGGTGGATGCCAGTTTCACCTCTTTGAGTCTCGCATGGGAACACTTTGGCACATTGTGTGTGGCACAAAAAGAGTGTCATTTGAAAAGCAATGCAGTTTACTAAATAATGTAGATGAAAATCTTATCAATCTGTTAAAATCAGTATATATTGATCAGATGTTTTATTGGGCAAAATACCATTATGAGTATTTTGAGCTACAGACAATGATTTAATATTGTTGAAAAAGACGGCCACTATAAATTTCTTGGTTTTGATTTATTTTTATTTTTTTAATTAAATCAACTGTTGATTGCAGATTGCAAATATTTCAACTACTGGACATAAGATGATTCTTGTTGTATTGCTTATTGGACCGTGATTGGCTTTTAGTCATGATGTTACAAAGTCCAGCTCGGTGCGCACATTTAAACTCAGATGTAAGCTTTTCCCCTCTGCAACAGACAAGTGTGAGAACAGCTGTTTTTCTGCAGCGTGAAGGTCAAACATCCCAGGGAAATATAAAAGAAAAGACAAGACTTGTAAGCTTTAGTTAACTAATTAATACAGAGTATGTGACTGGTGAAGGTGACTGTTTCCAATAAGTTAAATAATCATGTTGACACCACAATATTATTACTCCAATTCTGTGAGGAGGCACCGATGTGAGAGTGGATCAGGAGGAGGGTCGTAACAGAAGGGTAACACAGGAGAGGAGGTGTGTGTGGGAAACAGAGACAAACCCACAGCAGCCTAGCCAAACTTACATTAGATCTGCGTTGCGACTGTCATATGATGGTTTCTGTTCTGTTTGCATTCTTCATGGCATTCGGCCGGCTCGAGTGATCTCATGGAATGCACCCGGGATTTTTCTTCAAGAAAACTTTTAGCCCAACTCAGCGCTCAACTGCTCTCTCACCCAGACTGGAGTCTCTGTGTGGGTCCTTTTTTGAATGAATTTTTTGACCCAAAAAAATAAAACATTCCACCTAAGTATATCATGGGATTTGGGATGTGAAGCGAGGTGACTGGATCAATGCCGTACTGAAGGTGAAAGAAAATGCGGATACAGTCGTTCATTTGGATCTTGCACTTGGTGAATCTTACAAAAAGTCTGGATAACGCCAGGATCCTGCGATACACACGTAAGTGTTCAAGCATGACTCTCCAATGCTATTGTTGAGACGTGGCTCCTGTGAAATGTGCCTTATCTTTCCCCATTGTTCCAGTGGAAGATGGCAAACAATAGGCAGACACTACATATGGAGACAATAAATGTGCTCTTTCAGCATTCGGGGAATAATGTGGTCATAGATTTCCGTTGCTTTTAGCTGTTTGCACACTATGAATTTGAGAGCTTGGCACTATTTGACTCTGTTGGCTCTGATCTCATAATAACAAACTGCCTGTAAAATCTTGTACTTTAAATGGAGCACGGAGTACTTGCGTATTTTAAAAAACTCACACAGTGTTTTTGCCCCCCCCCGCCTACACACACACACACACACACACACCCCTCCTGTGCATTCATTCACAGGTAGCTCCTCCGTGAGCAGACTCTGTCCAGCAGCTTGTGCGACATGCTCGTCCCTGAATGGCTGTCTGTCCTGTAAACCTCGCCTCTTCTTCCACTTGGAGCTTGACGGGATGCGGCAGAGGGGCACCTGTCTGTCCTCCTGTCCCCGGGGTCACTATGGCATGCGCTCTCCGCACATCAGCACCTGCACCAGTAGGTACCGAAAACCACAAGTAGGAGAAGCGGAATGATGTTTAAAGTTATTTGAGCAACACCAGACTGAAGTAAATACCCCACGGTGCAAATTACATTGATTTGAAGTCAGCGTTGAGGGAATGAAACAAACAGGAATGTCTGTTGGTGCCCTGACAGCGTGGTCACTCTTCAATTGCATTGGCCTGCAGGGTGCAAGGAGGACTGCGCTTCCTGTTTCAGTGAAAGTTTCTGCACACATTGTCGTCCGGGCCACTTTCTGTTCCGGGGAAAATGTGAAAACAGCTGTCCAAATGGGCTGACAGCAAACGCTGCACTGCGAGAATGCACAGGTGAGACAATGCTCTGCACAACTGCACATCATTCATGAAGTCTTCTGCGGGTGTAATACTGAAATGAGGTTTCCCATGGAACTACAGTACAGTGTGAGAGGTTTGTGTCTCTCTGTCTCAGAGTGCTCTATAGGCTGCGAGATGTGTGTGAGCAGGGACACGTGCATGAGGTGTAGAGCCGACCTGTACTTTCTCCATGACCAGTGCCATCTCACCTGCCCGAGGGGATTCGAGCCTGATGTACAGCTCATGCAATGCATCCCCCAAGGTGAGAAAAATTCCCTTTTACCACGCATTTGAGATCATACAATAATACAGTGCGTTTGTATTCCTGCTTTTTTTGTTTTTACCTCTTCCTACACGTGAGAATGTCTCTGATCATCGTCGTCGTCTTCTCATAGTGCACTGTGAGGTTGGGGAGTGGACAGATTGGGGTCCATGTGTTCGGAAAAGGAGCATGCGGGCCTACAGGAGGGGAGCGGAGACGCGTACCCGACAAGTTCTGCGGTCTCCGAGTGTCGGCGGTGACCCCTGTCCACATGTGTCCGAGATCAGGAAGTGTGTCATCAAAAGGAGACCAAAGAGTCCAAGTACGTTGTGATAAGTTGAAAGAGAGACCCTGATAAACTATTGGTTCCTATTGCACAGATGTTCAACTTGTCATTGCACATTCTACATTGGTCATTTAAAAACTTGGAAAACTATTGTAAACATGTCAAAGTAAAGAGATTTCTTTGCAATCCAACAGAAATTAATAAAAGGGATGGATGGATATGATGATCGTACATGGATTTCTTGTGTACCTATCAACACCTTTGCTGCATTGCTTGGCCTTCTCTGGACTTTGGCTGTATCAGAGACATTTCATATCAATTTCTGCTATGTGCTGTTTTACCAGGGCATGTAAAAAATACTTGTTTGTTTAACATAGTGATTGCCAAGCGTGACTATGGTTCCGTTTATATGTTATTGTAACTTGGTGAGGACACCTCATCTTCTTACTTGCAATAAAATTTATTAAACATATTTTGGTTCTTAGCCTTTTATGTTTTGATGTAACAGACTAAAAAAAAAAAAGCACAGCTGAATTGCATTTAGCTGCTTCAGTTTCAGGGTCCTGGTTTTGTGCATGCTGGCTCACTGGGACACTTGAACAGAGCAGAGCCATTGTTAATGTTATTAGTAACACCTGTGCTTTTTCCTGCTATCACAAGTCAAAAAGTCTGTTGGGGAAACAAAGCCTAAGAATCAGTCCCACAAGCCACAGGCTACATGAATTCGCATAAGATGGCAAAAGTAAGGACAAAATACATTTTACCCTGTACAACCCCTTTAGGTCTACACCTCAGAGCAAAAGCTACAAGACTACAACTTTTAATTAGAATTTAAATGTAAATGAAATAAAAGAAAATGTCATAAAGTACATTTTTGTAATGACTGGTATTGTATGGATGGATATTTTATTTTGTAGGTCTGTAGTTTATGCATGTATTATGCAAAGAAATGGGCGATATAAACATGACACAATATGAAATAATGAATTAAGATACACCATAGACTTGTATACAGTCAAATGCTGTTCATTTTGTAAATGAGTGAAACTTTCTTTTCTTGCCTGCTCATTATTATTATTATTAATAATTATTTATTTATTTATTTTGGATAATTTAATAGGCAATTTGACAATGTTAAAATTATAAGTAAGTAGAAAATAAAGCCCACTTTAGTTTTTAAAATGTATTATTTGGAATAAAATACCAGATCGAATTTGGGGCTTTGAGACATATTGAGATAATCTATTTCACTTTTAATGTGTTGTTTATGTCAATGAAGTTTAATAATTCAAAACAACCTTCCTTTATGGACTGAGACAGTATTTTCTTTCTTCAAGTGATGTGTGTTTTTCCAAACAAAATTAGTCAGTATGTTATTGACGCCTTCTCATTATTATTATATATAATATTAGTGTATTATGTTACATGGTTACTGTGCGCAGCTGTGCTAGATCTGCAGGACTTGTGGAGTGACATGACGTGAGGCCGATCCAGGAGCAGTGAAGTCAGTTGGGTTTGGCAGGAACAGCGTCAAAGCAGTAACACAGAAATAAACGTTATTCGGCGTAGGTACACAACTTTATAAGCAAATATAAATGCGCCTTTATAAATATTTCCATCTCCTCTTCTGCTGAGGACTCTTCTTGAGGTATCCCAGTGTTGAGGTGAGTGTATTAATACTGAAGTTAAACAGCCAGGAAGCACACTGACATGCTGAGCTAACATGCTAACTAGCGTTACGTATGCTGCTACAACAGCTGTCAAGTTAACGATAGCCTTATGTTAGCTAGTTGAATGTTAGGTTGAAATTGACTTTACAGTATCTTAGCTATTGTGTTACTTCACATGCCACAGATGAGCCTCCAACATGACAGCCAGGAATATAAGCATTTTTGCTTAATGCAACTAGCAAATTATCGAGTTAGCTAACGTTAGCTTAGCAGTAGCAGGTTTGTCGAGACAGCAGAAAGGGGCCTTTGGTGTAAGTCGTAACGTTATTGAGGCTTGTGTGGAACAGATACCAATGGGATGCAGCCAGTAGCTTATGTCATAAACTTCAATTTCCTAAACTAGCGTTATATATCAGTGGAACTTAATTTCACAGATGTGTATTTGCTGAAACCATAACAGATAGCATAGCAGATCTGTTATGAAAGTGTTGTGTTTCTCTTTGTAGTATGGCAAGCTGTGAAGAAGTGGACTGTTCAGTGAATGCCCTGGCTCCCTCCAAGCTGATAGAGGAGGGAGGAGATACTTCCAGTTCCACCACCACCACCCTGGAGTGTGCCATCTGCCTGCAGAGCTGCATCCACCCCGTGCGCCTGCCATGCTGCCATGTCTTCTGTTTCCTGTGTGTGAAAGGTGCTTCCTGGCACAGCAAGCGCTGTGCTCTCTGCCGGCAAGAAATCCCAGAGGACTTCTTGGAGCGACCTGTCCTCCTCTCACCGGAAGAATTGAAAGCAGCAGCTGCGGGGATGAGCCGAAGTGTAGGGACTGGGGGCAGTTGCTGTGGAGACTATGCATGGTACTATGAGGGGCGCAACGGCTGGTGGCAGTATGATGAGAGGACCAGTCGTGAGCTGGAGGAGGCCTTCTCCAAGGGCAGGAAGAACACAGAGATGCTAATTGCAGGGTTTCTTTATGTGGCTGACCTGGAGAACATGGTGCAGTTCCGCAGGAATGAGCATGGCCGCAGGCGCAAGATAAAGCGGGACGTTGTAGATATCCCCAAGAAGGGAGTTGCGGGACTGAGGTTAGAACCTGAACCTTTCCCCATTCCTGCTTTACCAGTTGTCACCCCAGCTGCAACAAAACGCCACAGCTCAGCTGATGGATCGGATACTGCAGGCCAGTCACAATCTTCATCCTTTGGTATTATGGTGTCTCTTCCTCCTGTCAGACCTCCAACACTCCTGGGGCGCCATCCTCCCAGTCCCCTTTCTCCCTCGACTTCAACCCTGGAAGAGGCTTTCTCCCAGGTCCAGATCAGCGGGCCAGAGAGTGAAGAGTTGGAAGGAGACGACGAACTACAGACATATGAGTATGCATCCGGCAGCAGTGAGAATGAAGAGGAAAGGGAGTGCGAGAGAGGGACAGCAGAATCCAGGCCACAGAGAAAACCTAGGCAAAGACCGCTAAGAGAGAGCCAACCAGCCAGAATGCCTCCAAGAGGCGGACCCTCCAGCTCTGTACACAGTCTCCGCTCACGTAGTCCTGATGGACAGTGTACTGAGACAGAAGTGTGACTGCAACGGGACAGTGGTATCTGATCCACAGATGACAGTTTTTCAACTTTTATCTGTTCAGCAAAAAAAAAGTTTGCAAACCAGTATGCATCTTTAAAGGTCCCTCGAAATCCAAAATACTTTAAATATTCTTTGGTTACTCAAAGATCCCATCCAGTTGAATGTAATCTTAGTTTTCTCCTTTCTTCTAAACCTGCAGGTCTACCAAGGTAATTAGTAGTAGCAGCAATGATATGGGTCATAGCTGTGTACTTGGATGCAAAAACATAACTGACTCTCCACTGCTAATATATAATTACTTAACACCTGAGAGAAACTCTTGCAGAAATGCTTAAGACCATTATAAAAGCCATTTTAAGGGACCTCCAGCATAAATCACACATAACACATAAAGCCTTTTGTTGAACACTTCAAAATCTCGTGTCATCCAGCAATACGATGGTAGTTATGCATTGCTCTCAGCAACAGGTTATGTAGTGATCATAACACAATGTTGCTTTACCTGTTGCAACTTCTTGGTGAATGTTGTTTATAATTAAACTAAACCCTCTTTGATCTCTAATCTTTTGAGATCATGTTTTCTCTGGAGTGATGGTGTGAAATTCAAGCTTAAATGTAGCAGCTGATGTACCAGTTAGAGGGTTAAACCTGCTTCCCATGTTTTGATTATTAGGTTTTTTGAAGTTAAAAAGTTTTAATCTGGACTTAATTCATAAATAAAATGGTGTGTGTGTGCACAAGACTCTATATTCCTTGTACTCAAGTGTGAACGTCTTGTTTTAATAATGCCGTGTTTGTGTTGTGACCGGTTTTGGGTGCTGAAAAGCTACTGGCAGAACCAGTGGAAAGAATTAGGCTATATATACGCCAATAGTCTATTTCTTGTAGGACAAGAGAACTGCCATCAGAGCACTGGCATTGACTTGTACTTGGACGAGCTCTAGGTGTCCTGACAAGCTCCTGTTTTTTTTTTCCCTTTTTGCTCCAGCTGCTATTAATTTAGCCAATTTTACACTGTTAGTGTCTTATTCTCTGAATTACCACCAACAAACTTTTGTGTGTGTGGTGTAGCCCCTGTTGAAATGTATTTTAACTGTTTTAATCTGTAAGGTGTCCTTGAGTGCGATGAAAGGCGCCCACAAATAAAATGTTAATAATTAAAATTATTATTATTATTACAGTGGAATACATTACAGAATTGTGGGAAGACTGGAAACAGAAGTGGCACTAATCCACAGGCCTGTTTTCATTTTCATCTGAATACAGTGGATGGCGCTGTTCCACCGTTTAAGGGGCCCTTTCCCCCACTCGTCGTTTGAGACCCTTTCGCAGGTATGGCAAAAGCGCTAGAAACTAAGGCTCAGGGCTAAGGTCTCATTCATTATCCTGTAAATTGTAATAACTAACCAGATAAGATGTTTTTATAATTCTCTACACACAGAAATCAGTTAATTCTCTAAACTAATTTATCTTCTGACAACAAATGTGACGCCATTTTCCTGAATCCTCTCTCTACATACAACAGTGGTTAAGTCTACAGCATGGGCTTCTGAACATACAGGTTTGTGTGAAGGTGAGACGAAGCTGAACCAAAGACCACTGCTTACCAATGCAGCTGAGCTGCAGCATTTGCCAACTGAAGACAACCACAGGCCCAGTGTGTGCAGTTGGACTGTGACTTGAATAAGAAACACGGCTTAATGAGCCAGACATTGGATAGTGTCTTTTCAGAGCTTCCGCATAATTGTGTACTCTGTCACTTCAATGATAAGAGTGATAAAATGCTGACTGGCAAAAGATGTGTTTCTGCTTTTGGATACTTTGGGTGCAATTTACATCCGCAGCCTATAGAAGATGTTTGGCCCCCTCAGTAAACAGCACAACCATCCTTACTACATATTAAAATGACTGGCTTGTCCTCAGTCCTGAGAAATCCCTTTACTGAAGTGAAAAATAGGGATCAGCAATCACCAAAATAACATTATCTTTCTCGAGTTTAATAATAATAAATAGTTATTTATATTTGTAGTTCAAATCCATATGGTAAGCAACAATCATTCTCCTTAGGGAGCATCTATTACTATATATGTCCAAAGCTTCCATTGTTGGGTGTTTCAATAAAGATTGGTTGTTGAGCAACAAAACTAGAAGTCTACGTTCATGCTACCGGCTCTGTGAGGCTGCACTTGAGTTAAATGCCGGTGTCAGCATGCTACATGCCATGCTCACAAAGACGATGCTTATATGCTGACGTTGAATAGGGATAATGTTAAACATGTTCATCTTGGTTTAGAGTGTTAGCATTAGAGTTGGGTATCGTTTAAAATTTTATGATACCAGTACCCTTAAAGTGATACCGATACTAATAGAGTACTTCATTCCATACCTTGAATAAAATGCCACCTGTTGAAGCCATAGCAGTTGATTGGTAGCCTATTATTATTTTTATTGTTGTTATGGACAAGCAAGTTTATCTATTTTATTTTTTCTTGTTTGAAATAACTGTTACACAAAAAGTATTGGGAAATTGTATCAGATCGCTCCTCATCCATTTTGTTAACACTGAAAGGACTCTTTTACAAGTAAAAGTACTGCATTACTAGTATGTATGTAAGAATAATCAGGAAAATGTACTTAAAGGATAAACAGTGAAAATACTCAATGGAGAAAGAAAAATGTCCCCTGTGATCATAATCATCAGATAATTATTACTCATGCATTAGTTACTACATGCAGGATTTAACTGTAATGTAATGTGGAGTCATTTTGAAAAAAGTACATTTTTACTTTTTTGTATCCGACTGCAACCTATGATTATTTTCATTATGGATTCATCTGCCTGGAGAAATGCCGTCACAATCACCCAGAACCCAAAGTGACACTTTCGGAATGGTTGTTTTTTTTTTTACCACCAATCGTACAACCCTCAAAATTATTACAAATACATTAAAAGAAAAAGCAGCAAATATTCACATTTCGTAGGCTGTTGGTAGTTTTATTCATTTTAAAAAATCACATTTTATAAAAATCTTTATATGTTGCATTTAAAAATAGTAATCTGTAAGGTAAATTGTAAGTGAAGCTGTCAGATAAATGTAGTGTAAGAAGTATTAGTAAAACGTACTATATTCCCCCCTGAAATGTAGTGGAGTTGAACTCGCAAGTGGCATGAAAAGAAAATTCTCAAGTAAAATACCTCACATTTGTAAGTAAGTAAGTAAGTACATTTATTTGTCGCCGTAAGGAAATTTGTTTGCATGGCAATCAAGTAGGCATTACAAACATACATCATACATATACACCAAAAGAGAACCTTTAAATATACAAAGTCACATACTAATACACTTAACACATATTTCCCCATACCCTGCACTTTTTACTACCTATTTGATTAGGCAATACCAGAACCAGCTGAGTATCCTACCTATTAACTTACATGTTTAAAAGCTTAATTGCTTGAGGCACAAATGACAACTTTGATCTATTTTTGGTAAATAGAGGGAGGCAATATCGTCGCCCAGAAGGCAGTAGTTCGAATGAAGAGGCAAGGGGGTGCCTCTTGTCTCCCACAATGGTTTTTGCCTTGTTCCTTACCCTTTCCCTATAAATGCATTCCACACTTGGTAACTTGATCCCTAATAGTTTACTGGCCATTGTTACTGTTTTCCTTACAGACTTCTTCTGTGCCTCAGTAGCATTACCAAACCAGCAGATGATGCAGAAGGCCAACACACTTTCAATAAAAGAAGAATAAAACATCTGAAGCATTTTGTTGTGAACATTAAAGGAAAACAATTTCTTTAAAAAGTACATTCTTTGTTGTGTCTTAGTACTGATGAGGTCAGACCACAGATCCAATTTAAGCTTATGGTCAATCACAATGCCAAGATATTTATAATTTGTAACTGATTGTAGAGCCTCCCCGTTGATAGAAGTTGAATTTGATGATTGGATCATTCTAAAATCAATAGACATTTCTTTTGTTTTGGTGGTGTTTAGAAGGAGGCCTGACTTTTCACACCACTCTAAGAAATAGTCAAGAACTGGCCCATGCTCCTCCTCCTCATTATAAGTACAGTACTTGAGTACTTTGTCCACAACCGGCATTTTGTCATAAACCAAAGTATTAGACAAAATCGAATTTGCCTGATAATAGCCTTAAATGATAGTAAAGGCAACATGAATATCTTTACCAAATTTCATGGTAATCCATCCATGCAAAAATGTTCACCTCATAGTGGCATTAGAGGAAGCATCAGGAGATCATAAATGTCTGGACAAAATGTAATGGCATCCAATAGTTGCCCAGACATTTCAGTCTGGATCAAAGAGGTGAACCTAATGACTGTCCAACATTCACTTGTATTTGATGGTCAAAGACACCCAGACACACATGCTTCTGTATTTTATGCTCTTTCATTGGCTGGACATAAATGAGGCAGACCAGATACAAACCATACAAGATAAAAGGTCACCTGAAGCTGGAGTCACTGGGTTGTTTTCACTGTGGCAGGCTGGGGGGACAACAGACACAGATGCTTCTTAAGTATCTTTGCCCTGCAGGAGGGACTGACAGGCTGGAATGAGACCCAAAGCTAACGGTGAAGGTGCAATTGTCACATATTTCCCCCCTAAGATGTAGAAACTCCAATGGAGCACGTGCATGTGGTTGACAAATGTTCTGAAACATTTGGTGATGATTGTCCAACTAAGTGTTGTTTCCACTATGGTGAGTCAAGGTGACAATGTGCTTGGTGATAATATTGGAATTATTGCCATAAAAGTAATCAATCACACACCTACACTACCCTCAGTAGCCAGTTTGAAAGTTATATTAAAAGTCAGAGGATTAGTGATTACAATGCATCCTGCATGGGACATAAATGTACAGAATTATAATAATACTTAATTATTTTATTTGTACATACATGCATGATGTGTAGAGATGTCAGAGTGATGGGTTGCCACAGCGCAGCTCCCTGTCGGTCAGGCACCATGCTTAAGGGCGGAGCAGGGCCTCGGAGGTGGACTGGCACCTCACAAGCTACCAGGATTGAGCTACTGCCGCCAGATTTTAATGGCAAATATCTCATCAACATCCATTAGTGTGGAGCTTTCCATCCATCCGCACATGTCATATTACATTTCAATCTGGACCTAAGTGATAGACTGACCGTTAATCGAGATATGCTGCAAGCATGACTAAAAATCTGCAAACAACCTGACATGACCCACCAGTGTAACAGTGTTTGTAATAGTTAGGATTTAATCACTTAAAGGTTAAAGCTGTCTTCCACAAACTGTTCACATTATTTTTCTTCCTGTGCAGCAATCAAAACATGCAGCAGCAGTTGGACTTGCATGCTGTGCTGTATACAGATGTATTATGTAGACGTATCACCTCAGCTGGCATGCTATAAGACACTGACAGACAGATTTAGATGGCATGGAAACAGAGACTGTATTTAGATTGAACATGTTTGACCAGCATCTGGTGGTCATGAGACATGGTGCCAATGTGAAGGACAACAAAAAGAGCCGACACTTGATGTTCCCATACGAACAGTTGCATTGTTTCTGAGTTGAAAACAAGAGAGGAAATGACGCATGCACTATATGATAAGGCTGGTCATAGTTACCCAGTCAAACACAGACAGACAGACAAACAGACAGGAGACGACTCTGCTATATGTTACATCCAGACACATAGCTGCCCTTTCACGCCCTCATACGTGCTATCATATCCT